TACCTTGCTACGTGTACTGTGTTAGGCTAACCGAGACTTGTCATTTGCACTTATATATTGTTGCTCTTTTGTTCGTTTTGACTGCTTTTATTGTCCTCATTTGTAAGTCGCTTTGGATAAAAGCGCCTGCTAAATGACTAAATAAATAAATGACTAAATAATGCTTAGCTAATATGATGTTGTTGTTGTTTAAAATTAGGGCTGTAGAATGATTAATCAAAATTAATCACATTCAAAATAAAGGTTTATGTTTACACACTATATGTGTTTGTGTACTGTGTATATTTATTATGTAGGCTTTATATAAATACACACACATATATGTATATATATATTTTTTGTTTTATATTTGTTTGTATATGTATTTATACTTGTATATAATTTATATTGTATATATAAATCTAACATATTTTTCCTTAATATGTACATGTATGTGTGTGTATTTATATATACATAACAAATATAAACAGTACACACACATATAGTATGTAAACATAAACTTTTATTTTGAATGTGATTAATCGTGATTAATCGTTTAGCAGCCCTATTTTAAATCAATTAATTCAGTCAAATCATTTGACATGAATAGAAGAAATGCATAATTTTCTGCACCCTCAATAAGGAAAACAGACCCTTTTTCAGTCATGACCAATCAGTTGTAAAACACTGATATAAAAATCATACAAATATAATTTTGTGCGTAAATATATACTTTTTCTATTGGTCTCTTGCATTATCATCACACTATTTTCCTGTTTAACACTGTAAAGCTGCTTTGACAATCTGTATTGTATAAAGCACTATATAGCCTAAATAAAGGTGACTTGACTTGAAAGGTGACATAATACATGTAACTGTGTTATGTAAAACTTAAAAATATGTAAAATTCCTAAAAGAGTTACATTTTATACAATCTATTTTATTTTTTGTATTTTTAATCCGATTATATTTGTATTAATAATTTGTATTTTATAGCCTATGTGTATAATAATTGGTAGAATTTGTATTTTTGTATGCAAATATTCTATGAAATTTTCCCATATTAAAAAGAATTTCTAAAAGTGTTACAATGCTATACATTTCACCGTAGCCTACTGAAAGAAAAAATTCAGTCATCATTTTAATAAAATATTATACTTATCATCTAAATAATCTAAAAATATAGAGAGAGAGGTGGGGAATACAAGATTTATTTATTCATTCATTTAAATACGCATAATTAATGAATAAAAAGAAAAGACTGGGTACAGGCTAATGAGGATTTTCATTTAGAAAACGATGAAAAGTTACTGTTTTTTTATTGATGTGCTTGGAAAAATGCCTACAGTAACACATATGATCACGAGGGACACAAAAGGCAACCATTTGCGAAAAAACGACCAATCTACGATCTCATCACGGTACTTTTAACTTTATCTTAGATGACTTGAACTAAGGTGATAACTAACCTCTTCTTGTGAAATCGCTCTTCTGTATAGTCTACTAAAAGACATGATTTTTGTTTTGTGAATGTTGAAGCAGAGTTATTAATTTTTCATTTTGTTCACTTTAGTTGTAATTAGTGGGTTGTCCACTAAAATTGAGGGGTTAAAAAATAAAAGAGAAGGGGGGAAAGTTAATAGGCTATTGGTAGACTATATTTAAGCACCATAGACATCACCATCGATGAGTACCGTTTTTGTTAAGAGTTTGCACTTGTTTAACAAACCATTCTATTAATTTGATAAGCAGTTATAATGTTTTCATTGTCATTTTTTTCAATTAATGTTCGAGGGATTCGAGATATTACTAAGAGAAAAGCTTTATTTTTATGTTGTCATTCTTTAAAAAAGAACATTTACTTTCTTCAAGAAACATGCTCAAGTAACACAGATGAAAGATTTTGGCAAAATCAGTGGGGGGCCCGGGGCAAAGTCCTTTTCAATCATTGTACTAATCACTCTGGTGGTGTAGCCATTCTTTTTGAAAGAAATTTTAAAGGGAATATCCTGGAATCTCATTTTTCTGTTGAGGGTAGATGGATTGTAACTGTCATAGAGTTTGATGATTTTTTTTGTTTATTCTAGGAAATGTGTATGGTTACAATAATTCTGCTGCAAATAATGCCCTTTTGCAAGAACTATCATATAAGATCTCACAATTAAAAGGTAAATTCCCATCAAAAAAAAAAAAAACTTTATCTCTCCCAAACAAGGCTTTTATTAGGAAATTATAATTCTTTAATTGTATTCTTGAGGGAAACTGGGTTAATAAATAGAATATAAAGTATAATCGTTATTTTTATTATTAATAATTTTTATTTATTTTTTATATAAAAAATTGTTTTTTATATATATAAAGTTCTGTTGGTCACTCTGGTCCACACTCCAGTATAGTAGGTGGCGGTAATGCACCCACGGCTATATTATCTTAATAAGCTGATGTGCATGTGTTTCGGTGTGTTATTGCAGGAACGAGTGTGACATTGTGTCTTCCTGCCGCCATGCATGCGAACTGCTGTTGTTCTCTGATGCGCTCGCTCTGGTCGCTGCTCGTTTGAAATGTAACGTCTGGTTTGTGTACTTAACTTTCCTACACTTCCCCGAGTTGTCACGAATAAAATATGCCGTTTTAACAGACTTGAGGGATGGAGTTTTGTGTTGGTTAAGTAATTTGGGTCAGTAAAAGATAAACAGCTCAACTTTTTGTTGGAAACTTGGTTAACTAGCGTAAAACCTCTGAGAGGAAACGTGTGGAGTGTTACTTATGTATTTTGTATTTTCAATTGTTGCTTTTCTTACTCGCTTTAAAAACATTGATGTCCAAATTTAGCCGGTAGTTACTTCATGAAGGTTTGTTTTATGAGCAGAGGAGGAGTTTAGACCGTCAAGGACTAGCCTATGTCTGGTATTTGATCACTTAAACCGAGCAATGACACACTTCTAGGTGCGATATTTTTTTATATTAAAAAAGTTATGGTTGTGTATATCTTCTTGAACAACATAAAATGCTCACTGACCACTTGGAAACCTTATGAGTCATTCATCTTGCTTCATTCTGTGTTCGTAACATATAATCTAGCTAATAATCTATTTGCTAACCAAGTTGTCACAGATGGTTGGTTCCTCTATCCAGACTGAATGAACATCATTTGAAAGCTCAGGCTTCTCCATCAATCAATTTTCTATTTATATTCCAATGTTGTAATGTACACACATCATTTGTTTTAGGTTATACTGCTTTTTGAGGTGAGATGTTGGCAGGTGACTGTAAATTCTCATCCTGAGTAAGCACTGAACAAGCGATTTCCAAATGTTGTTTGTGCACTTTCTGAGTGTTGATTCAGCACTGAACCATACACCACTTTAATTCTTTTTGAGGAAATGTGGTTTGTTTATTTATAAAATGAGAGCGGGTTTTGTCAGTGCATCAAGTACTCTTAAGTTAAGAGATGAGAAGAATTAGTTTACCTCTGTTGAATGCTGTATTTTTTGAAAATATATTGTTTGTCTGTACATTTTGTATATCTTCCATTGGTTAGCATGCAATATTCCACACAAAATATAAAATTAATATAGCAAGGAATTTTACATTTGTGTTTTCCATGCCTAGAAATCACTGGAATTAATCTAATTCATGAAATCTTAAGGGTTTACTATGCTAGAAATTGCCCTTAGGTAGAGTACAACTACAGATTTGCACATTTGTGACCAAATTGTTCTTTTCAATGAGTTGGTTCCAGGAGTGATGCATTTACAAATCAGTCTGGTTTTGAAAGATTTTTAAAAGTCATTATGTGGTAAACAACTGTTTTGCAGTTTCTAGTACCATGCAAACCACTTTGATCTAAGACTAATGTGGTGAGGATTTTAGATGGGATTTGTGCTGCATGTATTCCAGGAGGCCGTTGTTGCCATGGAAACACCCTCA